GTAATTGGCACACTGGGTGCTATTCCAAAAGCACTGGAATTACATTTAAAACAGTTAAAAATTGACAAAATCACCATCAGTCAAATGCAAAATGGCGCACTGCTTGGATCTGCACGCATATTACGAAAACACGTTACAACGTCCTAGGCCCCTGGGTGGGGCCCGACTAGTAACCAATGCCAAATCCGGCGAAACAACTGGCCACTGTGATACAATTGTATAATCATCATCATCATCATCATCATCTGATGTTACCTTAATAGTTCCTAGGTCCTTGGTTAGGACTTGAGCTGTTGAGCTGCCAACCAGCCCCAAAGCCTGTGAATCTCACCAAAGATTAATCACGTAATAGTAGTAGTAGTAATGGCAGATAAGCTTTCCTATAAACTGAATAGTTGCTGAACTATTTTGGCATCGGACACCTCCAAGGGACTGCTGAGTGTACATTCCATATACATGGCAATAGTTCCAATTCAGTCAATGTAATGAAATTCACAGACACTTTTAAGTCAGAGATGCATAACATTTTGCACTAAGATAGCCATATTTGGCCATTACAAATGTTGCCAGCTCCAAGCTCACAAAAAGTTAGTAATACCAGGACCATACCAATTTGATTTAGAATAATTGAAAAGTAGATCATGGAAAATAATCTTTTCCCCATTCATTACACTATATGTTATAATTTGGCAGCAACTCCTATGAACTTAGATCCATGGCTAGAGGACCACAGAATAACTAAATGTTCTTCAGATTGTTTTTTTCTGAAGCTGCCTGGATTCTAGAAAGTGACATTTGGTAATAAATGCAGCGAAGACTTCTAGATTGTGTAAAGCAAAATCTTACCTACTGAGGTCTTGAATTTCTGAACAGATAGCCTCTTTGGAGATCCAAAATTTTCTAGACCTTTTGCAAAGGACAAATTGGTGGTTGAAGTACCCTGCTAATTAAATACATACATGTTGAAATTAAACAATTCAGTCTTATTTGATTGCTAGTTTGGGGGTAAACAGTTTTTATATTTCAGGTGGTTATCAAAACAAATCCCAGTCTTGTTCTACTATCCTAATCCATTTATAATAGGAAATCATAATATGTAATTGTACTATATAATTATAATAGGAAATAATAGGAAAATACATTGATATAGAGGGCCTTTTCCTGAGATAGTTTTCAGTTTGATGGGCTTAACTTTCCTTATCTTTTTTTTATAAGAAATGTAGTACATGATACAATTACATTAATCTATGTATAAAACAAAACAGATTCCTCTTATTTTTTTTTGCATTACCAAACAGTCTCCCCTAAATGTTGCCTTTCTGAAATAGTCATTTATTTTCTCAGTATTATTTATTAATTCTCTGATATTTTCTGTTGTATACAAATTAAAACATGAAACAGATTGTCAAGTCTGAAAATAAAAAAATAGCCCTTGAAATATACAGAGCATTACGTAGTCAAAAGCTCCCTTAAAATAAATAAAGGAGTAACTTGAAATTTTCATTTTAAAAAATTAGAAGATATGCTGCATGCATCACACACTGGCCATGCCCGCGCCCGGTTTAGCAAAGAGGAAAAAAGTCATGATACATCACATGACGCTGTGACAACACGAGTTTGACACCCCTGTTCTATACTATAGTACCAGAATGCCATAGAGCAGGATTTTTCATGCCAGCTGGAGAATTTGGGGTGTTAAAGTCCACACATCTCAAAGTTGACAAGTTTTAAATAGAGTTTATGAAGATTCTCAATCATCCATGTCATGGTTGTCCCAAAGGTGCTTTTTTTCAAGAGGCAACTGGACTTTCTGGTTTTTCTTTTCTTTTTTTTCTTGAAACAAATAAAACTCAGGGTGGCCTTACTGACTGGCTAAAAGACTGTAAATGTCCAGCTATCTGCAAGGAGTATAAATCCTTCCATTCCCCACCATCCAGTCCGAGCTGAAGAAGCTTCTTGGATAAGAAGCGAAATGCCTTCAAAGAAAAACCAGAAAGTCCAGTTGCCTCTTGGGTGGGGAAAAGCACCTTTGCTATAGAGCAATGTGTTTTTAATGCACTCACCTTTCCACTTGCTTTTTTATCATACTGCAGGTAACGGGATGGCACAATTCTTCCCCCTGGCAGAGGAAAAATAGAAAAAGGATCCACATTCAAATTTGCATTAAATTTGCATTTGTACCGTTACTATCCATGAGAAAAGAAACTTCTCCAGAGACTTTGGGGCTCTTTATGGGAACAATGTTGAGACCAAGCACTCGATTCCACAGAACGATTCCTATGCAAAGCTCCCATATTAAGCTCGGGCAGCTTTGTGCAGCGCATCGGCTGCGGACTACGGACCCTGAAATCTACCCTCCAATGCCATTACTCACCTCTCTGTTTCGGTCGGGCACCCGTCTCCATCTCAGTCGTTCCAAGCTCCCTAGAAAGACAAATGAACTGGGGTGACAGGGAAATCAAAACGCAAACCATCCGCCGCTGCCATCCATCCTTCGCTCCGCGCTCTCACCTGCCGAGCGGCAGCTTTCCCGCCATTTCCGCCGAACAAACTCACGGCTTTCCCCACCCATCAAAACAAATACCCCTCGGCGCATGCGCCTTGCAGCCCAGTTGGGAAAGGCCCGCCGGAGCCACCCGAAAGGCGGAAGCACGGAACCTAGAACGTCCCACTTTCAGGGAGCGCCTCGGGTTCATTCATTTCTGTCTCGCTTCATTTCGCAGCAGAAAATACTCACTTCCGGCTTACTCAACTTGTCTGTCGGCGGCCAGGCTTGACGCATGCGCAGAGCACCGCTCTGTTTTTAATGAACTTTTTCCATTTGTTTTCCAAGGCGAGCAGCCGGGAAATAACCGGTTAAATTATTACTGAACCCATTCTGTGAGTAACTGTTGCCTCCGCCCGCGGGGATCGAACCTACTTCCGCTCTAGTAGCTGTAATAGACTGGCGGCTCCGTACATGTGACTCGCTCTTGCTTCGCGCCGGCCGGTTTCGTTCGCCTCTTTCCTTCGTTCTTGGCTCTGTTGCAAAGAAGCGCAACCCTCCACTAATCGGTGAGCAGCCCCGACAAAGGCTAAGCTTTTGGGGACAAGGGTTGAATCGAGATCTCCTTGCGCGTCTCTCCCTTTGGTAAGGAGCCGCCTGGTGCCCGGGACGTTTGGCCAAAGTCCGAATTAATTCCAGAAAGGTGGAGAGGGGTTGTCGCTGGCTACTTGTAGGTTCTTCTTCGTAGCTGCATGTTTCCTCTCGCTCAGTGGGGGAAAAAAATGTCCCTTTGGGCATGTCGCAAAGTATACAGTGAGGGTCTTGTTCACAAAACCGGGGTGCCTTCCCATTTATTGTCTATTGCAGCGTCTTTTAGATTTAGATAGAGCCGAGGTGGCGCAGTGGGTAGAGTGCAGTACTGCAGGCTACTTCAGCTGACTGTTATCTGCAGTTCGACGGTTCAAATCTCACCAGGCTCAAGGTTGACTCAGCCTTCCATCCTTCCGAGGTGGGTAAAATGAGCACCCAGACTGTTGGGGGCAATATGCTGACTCTGTAAACCGCTTAGAGAGGGCTGAAAGCCCTATGAAGCGGTCTATAAGTCTAACTGCTATTGAACTGCTATTTATTTCTCTCAAAGCCCCTTTCCTCTTTTTAAAAATTACAGAGGATCCCCAAAGACCTTTTGTTTCTATTTATTGATATTTGTCATATCAGGGAGAAAGGGGTGGCAAAAATGTGATAAATATATTACAATTTAAAATGGATGCACTGGCTGTCATGACTGCCTCTCTATCATTTGATGGGATTTTAATAATGTAATTTTTCAACCTAGCTGGCAAATAATTTTGATTTTTGAGGACCCTGAAAGGGCCTTGTGGATCCTCAGCAGTCCTAGGTCTACACTTCAAGAAATGTTGGCTTATTACAGTGTTTCTCAACCTTGGCAACTTGAAGATGCCCAGACTTCAACTCCCAGAATTCCCCAGCCAGCATTCGCCGGCTGGGGAATTCTGAGAGTTGAAGTCTGGACATCTTCAAGTTGCCAAGGTTGAGAAACACTGTCCTATTGGAATTTATAATCTGTTGTAATGATTTAAAGGGGCTTCAAAATCTGAAACTGTGTCCAGGAAGGTGTATAGTACATTATAACAAGATTAAATGGCAACAGTGTAGCTAAATTTGAAAAATATTGGAGATTGGAAAGCATGGGATGAATCCTTTCCTTGCTGTACAGCAAGTGGGGATTCTGGAGATGTTGCTCCTCCTAGCAGTCCCCGGAGGGAAAACTCTACGCATTGGTTTTACCTAAATCGTCAACAGATGGTAACAGCATACGGGTAATCCTTGTTTAGCAACCACAATTGGGACTGACAACTTGATTGCTGAGTCAAATGATCTTACTTCAACTTTCCTTTGCTTTACAGACCTGTGAGGTTCATAAATGTGAAGACTGATCACCAAATTACTTTTTCTTCACTGCTGTAACTATGCACGGTCGCTAAATGAGGACTACCTAGTGCAGAGGGGTCAAAGGCAATTTCATTGAGGGCCGCATCAGGGTTGTGTTTAACCTGGGGGAGGGGGCCAGGGTGGACGTGGCGAGCTTGACCTCATTCATCAAGGCTCCGTTTTTGGCCATGATGGCCTCCTGCAGCCCTATGCCGGTAAAAAAGGAGCTTGGGGAGGCCTGTGCTGCATTTTTTCTGGCAGTGGGTGTAGGTGGCTGTCGCGTCCGAAAACTGAGTCCAGGCAGGTTGCATGCGGCCTCCCTGAGCTCCATTTTCATTAGCAGAGGACTGCAGGAGGCCATTGTGGCTGAAAACGGAGCGCCGATGGGCCGCATATGACCCTCCCGACCTCTGTTTTGTTGGCAGAGGCACTATGGGCAGGTGCTTCACTGTTTCCAGTGTAGGGGCCACAGGCCGGATCTAAGCACTCTGTGGGCTGGATTTGGCCCCCGGGCCTTGAATTTGACATCCCTAGCCTAGTTCCTTTGGCAGTAGAAGGAAGACATTTTTTTTTTAGACATTTTATTAAGATTTATAGGCCGCCCTTTTCCCTGAGGGGACTCAGGGCGGCTT